ATCTCCCATAAATTTGACCTAATCCCTCTATGTCTCTCTATATCCCGCTTAAATCCCCTTATATTCCTCTAAGATTTGGTGAGATATCGGAGGTATAGGGCGTATATCAGGAAGATTCATAGATATCCCATTTAAATCCTTTTTAATCAGCCGATATCTACTTAATCCACAAAACCTTAAATAATTTTGTTTTCTCAACTGTGCATGGGAGGGGGCTACTAATAAGTAGGGGGTAAATATTCATCAGGGATTAGAAGGATGAAGATATTATTTAGAGAGGGGATTATCATTTAGGAGGGTTATTAAAAATAATGGGGATATTATTTGGGGGGGGGGGGGGGAGTGGGGTTAATTATTTGAAGGGTGGGGGGGGGGTAATTATTTGAGTAACTACAATATTTCAGTTTCTTCCCGTTCTCCTCGTTCTCCTTTTGGCTACAGAATTTATCTTAGTCTCTACTCGCGGCACGAAAACCAAGAAGCCGAAACATGAAACAACAACTCAAGCTATCAATGCTACAACAGAAGATATAGAAAACGACCCAGCTCCAAAAAAATGTGGCAAGTGCAACAACTGGTGTAAATGCGGATATTATGTTGGAAATTTTTAATTAAATATGTTTGTAAAATTAAATTTTTTAATAGCAATGCAAAGGTTGCAAGTGCAACGGATGTGGAGGAGATTGGTGAGAAAATGAGGAAGATGGGAAATAAAAAAAATTTAAAATGAAAGATAATGAAAAATTAAATGTGTTAAAAATAAATATTAAATAAAATAAATATTAACGGGAAAGTGATTTGATATTTAAATAAGGTCGAGGTTCACTATGAAACAGGGTTCGTATCAATATAAGATACTCAAACATCTCTAGATACTTCACAATTTAAGATACTTTTTATAAATTGTGTTCGTTCTAAGGTGGGGGTGCAATTAACTAAATACCCCCTATTTAAATTACTACTCTCATTTGACCAAGTAATTGATCTCAAATAATTTGACGGATCATAAGAAATATTTGGCTATCTGGGTGCAGAAGAAAATTTTCTTTTTTCAAATGTATTAATTTTAATTTTAAATAATTTTTAAAAAATTTAAAAAAAAATTTTACTAGAATTGCTGATTTAAAAGATATTTAGAAGATAAAGCAAAGGATAAAAATTGTTAAAAATAAATATTAATGGGAAATTTATTTGATAGTTAAACATGTTCGAGTATCAAAATTTAAACTACTCCCCGCATTAAAACATAAGATTTTTCGGTTACAAGTGTGTATATTAGTGATGCTTGGGAGAAGAAAAAACCCGGGAAACGGGAGTCGGGTCGGGAGATGTCCTCGGGAGGTTAAAAACTTGGGAAATTTTCCCGAGTCAGAAGTCGGGATACCCGAACATCATTAGTGTGTATCTTATAGTTGAGTTTGGAATAATAAAGACCCATAAAAATAAAGACCCATAAAAATAAATTAAAGATAGATTTAATAAAATTTAGCTTATTCTTCGTATTTTTCCATCCATTCTATCCTCAATTCGAATTATTTAAAAATTGATTAAGGACATATTCAGCCTGAACTGGTGCCCAACTCAATAACTTAAAATTAAATTATTTTAATGGATTTAGTTTTTATTAAATTACCATATGTCCAACACCTTTAACTAAAATTTAAAAAAAAATTTTTTAAATAATTTTTTAAAGTATCAACTAACCCGTTAAGAATTTAAGATTATTATAAATTGTTTCAAATCCTCCAATTTGGCCATTTAAAATCCAGGCTTCTTTGGGTGTTATTAACTGTTAAATAAATTATATTTTTGAATAGAATAGGGATCTCAGAGAATTCCCCTTTTTTCGGCCCAAAATTTAGAGAGAATAATTTTAAGTTAATATTATTCGGATTGATGTTTTTAAGGAATTATTTGGTTATCCTAAAAAATCTCTGGTATCCTAAACCTAAACGGGGAAACAACCCGAAAAATCGTCGGTTTCGCTCGATTCCAAATTGAAAATGAGGGATTGATATGAGGATGTAAAATTAGGAGAAATATGATTCAAATAGGTAGTACTTATTTGACAGAATTTTAAATTCAAGTCTAAATTCTCGCAAGAAACAGACGATATATCGTCCTAGCTCTCGGGATGCAAGCAAAATTGTTAGAGAATGGGCCTCAATAGAGATCTCCGAGACTCTTGGTCTTGTCTTGGTTTTATTTTTTGGTCTTGGTTTTTCTCTAGGCCTCAAGTTCTGTCCCTAATTATACGTGGACTTTTTAACAATGGGTTTTTTATTAGAAATATAGTACATATTTTTGTCTACAAGGATTAGAAATAAAATTTTTAATATCTGCCAGAGATTTACCTTCAGTCCAAGCCCCTCCACAAATTTTTGACCAAGTAAATAATTACAAACGGCATCAGTATCTCCATAAAAAAAGGTAATTGGAATTTTTGCAGCCAGAATATTCTTAATAAATATACTCATATCATCTTGAAAAAAATTTTTTTTTATTTTAAATAAATTTTAAACCATATTGTTTAATATAATTTTTGAAAACATCATCACTACAAGACTTCCAAGTAAAGGTATGATTAGTAGGGATATGTAAAGCTTTTCTGACTTTAAAATAAATTTTTGTTTTTTAAATTTAGCTTGATTATATTTAAAATACCATCGGGTCTATTCATGTAATTATTTATTCCAGTGTCTGAAAATTTTGATAAATTGATAGATTAATAATGTTTATTTTAGCTAAAAAGTATTTGGGGCTATAGCTTTAACGGTTTCCAAAGATTTGCTTTGGGGATATAGGAAAACTCTTATTCTGATTCTAATTGAATGCAAAAAATATCGTTTATTTTATATTCAATTAATCCCCTATTGACGGACACGAAATGTAAGCCAACAGTAGAGATAGGCAAAATGCAACTTCGAGTTTCAAATGAATAATTTAAATTCAAAAATTATTCGAATTTTACAGATAATATCGAATTCGAATGGAGGTATTCGAAAGTATCCTATCTCTCATTAGAACCACTTTTCTCTCACGAAAAGCTATGACCAGAACCAAAACTTTAAATTGTAAGGCGGAAATAGGAATATTTATTGTACAATCGGAGGAATTAGTCGTTGTCGTTTAATAACTTTTAACTAGGGTTGCACCCCGAACGCTCGGGGGCGGGTATGTCGGGGTACGGGGTTTTCGAATTGTTTCGGGGCGGGGTACGGGTCGGGGGACCAAAATATGGTCGGGGTTCGGGTCGGGGTACGGGGTTTTTGTAAAAAAATTTTAGAGAAAAAAATGTTAAAAATAATTAGATTTTAGCATATTTTCGTTAATTTTTTCAAAAATTAAGTAGGATATTGAGACATTAAATTGGATTTGAAGGGATTAAAGAGTTTATCTGGGGATATAAGCGGATATAGAGGGATTAAGCGGGATTTTAGGGATTAAATGGTATATCTAGAGATGCAAGAGGATCTGGAGTGATCTTTGTTGGTCTCAAGGAATATCATTGATTTAGAATTATATTGAAGTATTACGGATCCCTTATTAGTTTTTAATCTGGGGAGATAATTATCTGGGATAATAAATAAATTTGGGCGGATTATGGAAGATTTGAAGAGATTAACTGACATATCTGCTGATATAAGGGCTTCGAAGGATTAAGGGTGGTTCAAGGGATAGAATCTTCCTTTTTAGAGCCAAAGATGAAAATTTTAGAATTTTTAGACTAAACTAAAAATTTATGGTTGATAATATTTAAAAATAGAATTAAACTTTTAAAATTAAAATTTAACGCTTGTTTTTGTAAAGAAAAATAAGAAAACAAACGGGTTCTCCTTATTTGGATCCGAACCCTAACCTATATGAATAGAAATATAGACAAAGCCAACGACTAAACCACTCAACCACAAGTCGGTTAGTTAATATGGAAATACAATATTGATATTTCATTCAATTTTCTTACAAAAATAATAAAGGCAAAGCAAATTGGGAGGAAGTTTCTAAAATTTTTCTCTTTAAATTCTCCTTAAAAATGGCGTTTTTAGGGGTGTATACCCCGAAAACTCCGAAACTTTTTCGGGTCGGGGGACGGGGTTTTCATTTTTTTCGGGGCGGGGTTCGGGTCGGGGAAATTTTGGAAAAATCTTTCGGGAACGGGGGTCGGGGTTCGGGGTACGGGGTCGGGGTGCAACTCTACTTTTAACAAGTGAGCGGTGAATATTGTCTGGCCGGACTAACAACATTAATTAATAAGTATTCCCTCATATTCTGTTATTCTGAGCTCTAATATAGGTATGGATTCAGCAAACTCCTATATATTAAAACTAAATTTCTAACCATCAATGCAAGGTAACGAGGTACACGTTTCTGGTGCGCAAGACATTGGTTGTCCAAGATTTAAATTTTGAGCTTTAGGGAAACGATGTTTAAACATCCATCTAAGAATAGAAGAACGCTTTGGCGTCTCTATAATAAATTTAAAAATTGGGAATTTATTTATTAATTACCACAATCTCTGTAATAATCATAAGGATTAAGCCGTTGACTATTCCAAGCTATATTTAACATATCAGAAACCTTAAATATTTCAACTATTTTATTTTAGTAAAAGTTGGAACCATTTGTGCACAAGTATCGTTTAATGAGTCGATGTTGCAGCCATCTAAATTTTAAATTCTTGACGAATTATTAAAGTGATAATTATGTTTAGAGGGATAAAAATAATTTTCAAGAGATATAACAACTAAAGAGTAGAAGGATATCGATACGTGATCATGATGATGATCTTGAAATGACTCTCACTCACACAACCCTCACAGTCATATCTTTGCCAGTGATATAGCCGAACAAATTCCCGAAAATCGGAAGTTCCCGACGTTTTTTGGGTCCGTAATCCCGATTCCCGAAAATCGGAAATCATGGTTTTCTCTGGAATCCAGATTCCCGAAAGCCGGGAATGTCCCTGGTGCTTTACCACCCTCACATTCCAGTCCCCTTTTTTAGAATTTTTTTAAATAAAGGGACTTGCCAACACATCCTTTGCAGCATTGTTTCGAAAACAATTGCCATGTTTCTTCGTCCAAAATACCATGGCCATAGGCAAACTGTAAGGTTGTATCAATACTCATATTCCAATTCATTAATCCATTTCCTATTGCTAATCCCTTTATTTTTTAAGATTAAAATGTTTAATTTAAATTTTTATCACCTTTAAATTAATGGGAAAAACTTTTTGTCCTTTAATAATTCGATCAACAACCATTGGGGCATAAACACCTGCATAAGATTCTCCAGCTACGTATAGCTTGCTTTTTCGGAACATTGGAAATTTTGCTAGGAATAATTTAATTGCTTCATAGTTGGCATCAGCAGTCTTAAAATAATTTTTAATTTGAAAGTAGTTGAAAGAGGTGCTGGTTAGTCAAGGGATAATCTGAGTTTAGACGTAATTAAACGTAATTCTCCTCCCTTACAGGAGACATCTCAAGAAATTAGTTTAGTTTACTTACTTGATCATCATTTATCGTAATATTCCCATTAAGAGCATATGAATACCCAACACCTATTGGAGCCTCTATATAAACTATTGAAGCATTTTTATTCCAATTATTTTCATTTTTGATTAGAGTTTTTTTATCAGGGCTTAAAATATATGGACCCATTCCTTCCAATAATCCATTAAGTGATGAACATCCTGGACCTCCGTTAAACCAGAAGAGCTGCAAAAGATTTATATTTTAGTTTATAATTTTTAAAGTGGTTTAGACTAGTGGATCAGTTGCTGGATTCGATTGGGACTTTACTAGCCAATAGTGAAGCATATAATTCTGTTTTACTTGAAGATAACCTTAAATTTATTAAATAATTTTTCAGAATTAGTTATTTATTCTAATAACTCCTCTATTAAATAATAAAAATTATTAATGGAAAATTAATTTAGAACGAGAATCGAGTGATTATGTAACAAAGCTTTCCGATTGCTCTGCTTTCCATTTATTCTTCCCGGCTTTTAAGCTCTTCCCATGAGAGAGCTCTTCCCATATTCTTCCCTCTCACTCTCCCTCCCCCCCCTTCAGAGAGCTCTTCATTATATTTTGTTTATCAATACCCTCCTGTTAATTCTTCTTACGGTTTCCAATTCCTCTCCCCCATCTTTCTTTCTATTTTAATTCAATAATAAAGATACCTGAATAATGCTTAAAATTTATATCAAAATTAATTAAAGGTAGTTTATCAGTAATTTCATCCTTCTCTCCATTCATCGAATCCACTCCATCTCCCAATGATTTTTCAGGTAAATAAACCAAAAATAGTAAAACGAGGGAGCAGGTAAATTTAAAAATATTTAAATTCATTTTGAGAGGGTTAGAAGGAGTAAAGAAAGGTATAAGAATGAAGAATCTCTCCAATATTCTAGGGATATTTATGTAAGGGATTTTACCTTAATTCTTGGGGTATATTAAATTAACGGCTAATAAAATATTTAAGAAAAAGCAAAAATCGAAGCAAAAATTAAAAGAATAAACCCTCCATTTTTAGCTATAAAGCCTCACATGTTAATACGAAATCTAACAAAAAGCAGAGATCAAAGCTTATTGCCAGCAATAAAAAATATGACAACCCTTCTATTTTAAATAAATCTGGCTTGAAAGTTAAGCCAGGAAAAGAATACTAATTTTATTATTAAAAAAATTTAATAAAAATAGAATAAATTGAATAAACATTTTAAGGAAAAAATTTTTTTTATTCAATTTTCTTTTTTTATTTCAAGGTTAGCAAACATTAACCCACGTAATGTTGATGCTAAGCTATTGGGTAATCATTTTTCTATTGAGCCTCTTTTCTATTTTCATTTTTATAGCTTAAAAACTCTCTTGGATCTCCGTTGAGCTTGTATATTAGGGAATGATTAGGAAGGGACTATTTTAGAAAGGTCGAGAGAATTAAGCACCCGAACGCATGAAAAGTGTTAAAAAGTTAGGGAAAGAAACTTTAAAAAAATATTTTTTACTATGTTATTTCCAATACAAAACACAAAAATAGATACTATTTTATAAAGATTTTGCATATCAAATTATTTTTTAAACAATTCATTAACAAAAATTTTAGTGATAGTTGGAACGGGCCTTTTTATTAACAAATTTAAAAAATTTTTTAACAAAATTTTCATACAAAAATAAAAATAATATTCTGTTGATACCAGGGAACTACCCATCAGATTCCCACTTCCTGAAATGAAGAATAGGACTTTAAAATAAAATCGGGATTTCAGGATTCAGGAAGCCAAAGCTCCACATTCTCGAAACTGACTTTTTATTTCGTGTGTGCAGAGAGTTAGGTCCGATCAGTTCAGAGGTGTCGGAAATCGGAATTCCGACACCTCTGCTCCATAAGTTACCTCTTTAAAACCCAAACACTTTTCTTATAATAAGGTGTAAATTAAATCGAGGGTTTTGCTTAAGCAGCTCCCTCTTATATTATAAACATAAATTAAAAAATACGTGTCTTAAATTGACGTCCCTATTTTATATTGAGGTCCAGCTGTATTAAAAAAAATTTTTTTTAATAATAAAAGTATAAAGCAACTATTATTTATTTAACTTGCAGTTACTTTTATATATAATTTTAATTTAATCTTTTTTTAAAATAAAAATGTTGACTTTTTAAAAATGTTTGCTTAATAAAATGCTTGCTTATACTTAATATTTAAAAAGTAAATATAAAATTTTTTTTATAAATTTTGATAAAGTTTAAGTCAAAGCTTTTTATTTCTATTTTCAGAAAAAATAAAAATTTATTTTTGAAAAAAAATAAATAATAAATTATTCAAATAAAAAATAAATTTTTGCGTGATTTATTGTTTGCTCTTTATTTTTGGGGTATTTTACATATATTTATTTTTGTTTAAAATAATTTATTTTTGAATAGATTTTGATTAACTTTTGACATTCGTTATATTTAATTTCAATTAAGAATACTTAAAAATAGGGCCAAGGTTCCATCATATAAAAACAATCATTTGATAATGGGTGGTTGATCGTTAAACAACTCTGCTCTCAAAACAGCCAAGAGGGTGCTTGTTCCAAGAGCCCTCAAGAAGCCGCTTTAATAATTTGGTATTCTCTGAGATAGCTTCAGAATTGATAATTATTAATAATAATAATTTAATTAATAATAATTAAACAAGCTCCCTCTTGGCTCTTTTGAGAGCTGGGTAGTTTAACGATCAGCCACCCATCACAAACTGAATGTTTTTATTTTTTGGAATTTTGGCCCCATTTTTAAGTATTTTTAATTGAATTATCAAGATGTAATTATTAATTATTATTAATAATAATTAATTATAATTATCTCAGTATCAAGTCATCACCAATCAAATCTTTTGTTATTTTTTAAGATGGATCGGGGTTAATTTTTCAACACCGTTAAAGTGGAGAGATATCGAATTAAGTCACTTAACTATAAGTCACTTTACTATTTTCTGAAATAAGTTTGAATAATTTATGTAATAAAACTAAGTTTTTGTGTGTATCTTCCAATATAGTAAAAGGTTGGATCAAAATCAAGTCAATTTTCTCAATATCAGATCATTTGCTATTCATAAATGTGTTTCCCTTTTTTTAATTTAAAATTATTAAAGACACATTGTAACAATTATTAATTTTAAAAGTCACATCGTAACTAAAAACAGGTGAATTTTATTGTGACACAAAGTAAAAATTAAAATTAATTTTCTTAAAAATGTTAGAAAACATCTGTTTAAAAGTAAAAAATTATTTTAAATATTTATTTTATATCAACAATTTTATAAAACTGATATTTATAAATTTATCTAATAAAATATTAAAAATAATTTTAATAAGCAACACAAATTCAGTACAATAATATATCTCTCAATATCATTACTTTTCCTTCTTGTGTTTCTCTTCGGTATTTAAATATAGGGTAGCACCCGAGCCTTCGGGGGCGGGTTTGCCGGGAATCGGAGTTTGCCGGGGAGGGTATGTCAAGGTCCTGGACCTTTGGGTCGGTTGTTTGGGGTCGGGTTTTTTGCCAAGAAAATCGTCGGGGTCGTGTCGGAGTTTCGAGTGACGGAGTGCTAACCTCTTCCTCGTTCAACCTCTTCCATGTTTTGTATTCAAGGAGCATTTAATATTTCCTCGACGAGCAGAGCTTTAATAATCTTTTTATATAATGGTCATATGAATATTGTGGGTCATATGAATATTTGGGAGTCATATGTGGGTAATATGAATATTTTTTCCAATTAAAAAACGTCGGAAATTGATGATTTTCGGGAACCTAGTCGGCTAGAACCTTGCTCGTACATCTTTAGATTTCTATAATTAAAGCCTATGTGATGCATTCAATTCTACGGATATCTAACATTCTTCTTACATTTTTCTAACAAATTATTAAATTTAGATAAATGGAATTTACTCCATTATCATTAATTTTCCAATATATTGAACTAATACCTCTAACAATTTTAATTCCCTGTTGTCTTTTAAATTTATTTTTATTATGGAAAAGTAGTGTTTTACACAATAATTCGAAAATTATTCTCATTTCACAAAGCATAGTTATTTTTATATATTCATCAAACCGGTTATTTATGTAAGTCTACAGAAAAATTATAAAACTTCAATTTTAATTTTAAGGATTTTTCTGATTAGCTTTAAACAAGAAAATTTATTAAATAATTTATTATTTTATTTAACGAGTCTTGGATTAGCCTGTATAAATTTTGGTAATTTAATTGGGCATGTGTTAATAATGGAGAGAACAATAGCCACTTTATTTGATAAAAAATATGGTCAAACTAAAGTTCCTATATTTGGAATTTTTTGTATTCTGATTTTGGTAGGGAATATTTTACTTGTATTAATATATTTAAATAGAGAATCCACTGATAGAGATTTTGATGAGCTTTTGTAAGATATTTTAAGAGCAAGGTAAAAGTATGATCCCGGGCAGGCCCAGATCCTGCGACTTCCTGGCAGTTATTGCTACAACGTACAGGTACTCTACCGATTGAGCTACCAAGACGATGCTTTCACCTTCTCTTTCAATAGATCTTAAACCCACGCCTAAATAATCGTGAAAATCTATTGGGAAACGGTACCGTTAAAAACAAATCCAATAAAATACAAAAACACAATCCTAACACAATCGTAATAAGTCAAATTAATTGACGGCCACCAAATGGCACAACCGGGATTTAAGGTTGTCGGATCCGGATATCCGAGAGTTCCAACTATCCGACAACCTTACCAAGGTTGTGCCATATATGCCAAAGGGGTCCTCTTGTCGTGCCGAATTTTCGTCTTTTTTGGTGTTTCTTTTTCTCTTTCGGCACAACCTTAGTCCGCACCTAATAAATGTTTAATATTTGGAATTTTGTATTTAAATCTTATCATGAATATTTTTCATATTAAATATTATAGATAATCCAAAAAATTTTAGATATGTTTTGTGATATTGACACAATTATTCAATAGTAGTAGTCAAAGTTTGAGCTTAATTGTTTTTATTGCCGTTCATTTGTCTCTATTATTCAGCATAATAGAATTAATTGTATGGCTTATTTGAGAAATATTTTAGTTAAAAATTTTTTTCTAGGCATTTTCTAGACTGACATCATTCAATAAAAAAATTTATAAAAAATTTTTAAATAGCCAAGCTGGGCAAGCTAATAATTATAAATTAAACGAACGATATCAGGTTGGGGTTTTTGATTAATATTTTTGGACATTAGGAGATCCAGTGAATTAATGGGCTCGTATTGATAGGGTTAGCGAATACTGTCAAATCTCCGGATATCTGAGAGAGAAAAGGCTTACAAGAGTAGAGGAGTTGGGTAATGATCTATGCTCAGTGTCTGGAACCGATGGCTTTTGGCGCCTTATTTTTATTTCTTCGGGATCCGTCAATCCTAGACACGATATAATTATCTTTTTTCCCATCTCAATCGACTTTTGTTTTGACAATGAAAACAGAACAGCATTACCTTCATGCTTCACCATGCGCATGCTTTAAAATTTTTAACACTGTTAAATTAAATTTTTAAGCAACTAGAAAATATTTACACTGGAAAACAATTGGCACCCTCATTTTTCTTCCATTTTATTAATATTTTATGTTCAAATATACTTGTAATTATTATAAATTATTTTGTAATACCAATAGAATTATCTGTTAATATACTTTATTTTATCTTTGTGATCCACGCATTTTGTAAATTATTTATTGAAGTGACTGTGATAACGTAAATAATGAATTTATTTTGTCAAAAAAATTTTTAAAAATTTTTTTAGATTCCATCCAGTCTTAAATCGCAACCTAAACAAACTTTTCTCTTCAATATTTATCCATTTTAAATGTTTAAGATCCCCAAAAGTATGTGCGGATAAAGGAAATGACTTAAACATTTTAGCAAGTATGGCAACTAAACAACAGCAAGTACACTTTGAAATGCTCGGAAAACTTTGGGAATAATTGAAAAATTTTTTATAATTATACATGTATTTAAAAAAATTTCTACAAACTGTAGATAAAAAATTATTATAAAAAATTATAAAAAAATTATTATGAAAATATTTACACTTTAAGTTATAAATATTTTTTAGTTCATTTTATTGAACTGAAAAGTAAAAAGTATAGTTCGTTGAAATTATACAATGTATAAGATCGGAAGCTTAATGAGTTTCCCATGATCGGAAGTTAGATAAAGACTCGATCTCGTTACCCAGATATTATTACCCAGCATTTCAAATAATCAAATAGAAGGAATTTTTATGCTCCAAGCTAGCATAGAGTTGGATCAAAATCAATTTCAATTCTCAGAATCAGTTAATTTCCTATTCATAAATGTCTTTCCATTTTTAATTTTAAAATTATTAAAGACACATTTTAGTAATCTTTAATTCTAAGGGCCATCAAAACAGGTGAATTTTACCATTTATTGGAAAGTAAATATATTTACGCTCTTAAAATGCTTAAAACATCTGTTTAAAAGAATGTTAACTTCAATTTAGAAATTTATTCTAAATTTATTTCATATTTATAATTTTATAAAATTGAGCTTTGTTAATTTATATAAAGCAAAAATTTTGCTTTAATGGCCAACACAAATTCAGTCCAATGATACCTTTTAGTTTTTCACCGGAAGTTACGGTTTCGGTTCCGGAAAGTTTCCTACACTTAATACACTCTTTTACCTTCATGTATCCCTCCTATCACGCTCACTCTTACCTGCTTTTCTTGGGCTTCCACTTCAGGGGCATTTATTCCCTCGACGGGCAGAACCTTAATTATCTCGTTAATACTACTACAGCTCATTATTCTGATCGTTTTAAGGATTCTGATATCGTAGGCACAAAACGGTTTGAGAATGTTGATTTCATGAATCGAGTCGGCTGTACATCCAGTATGACATTCATGTTTACGTACATGCTCTATTATACATAGACATTTTTCAAAGTTGAGATTTAAAAATTTAACCCCCCCCCTTGAGGGACTTAACTTCCCCCTATTGAGGGACTAAACTGAGTGATACCCCCCCCCCCCCCGATTCTAGCATATTTCAAATTCTTCCAACTTTTTTCTGTCATTTTCAAACACTTTTTAATTTTTAAAATTCAGGTAAATGGAATTCCCTACATTATCATTAATTTTCCAGTATATTGAAATAATTCCAATAACAATTTTAATTCCCTGTTCTCTTCTAAATTTATTTTTATTATGGAAAAGTAGTGTTTTACACAATAATTCGAAAATTATTCTCATTTCACAAAGCATTGTTATTATTATTTATTCAACAACACGTGTGTTTTTGTAAGTCTAATGAAAAATATAAAAATTTAAAATTCAATTTTAAGGATTTTTCTAATTAACTGTAAACAAGAATTCTTAAATATATTATCACCTTATGTTAATAGTCTTATGCTTGTCTGTATATATTTTGGTAACTTAATTGGGCATGTGTTAATATTGGAGAGAACAATAGCAACTTTATTTGCTAAAAAATATGGACAAACTAGAGTTCCTATATTTGGAATTTGTTGTATTTTGATTTTGGTAGGGAATTTTTAAAATTAAATAATATCTAATATTATCTCGTATAGAATAATACTATTACTATATTATATAATAATATTAATAATATTATAATGATATAATAATAATATACATATATAATAATAATAAATATCATAATAATAATATTATGATTATATACTATAATAATATTATATAATATATTATAGAATAATAATATGTATTATAATAATAATATTATAATATTAATAATAATATAATAATAATATATTATTATTAATATTATTAATATTATCTCGTATTATCTCTAATAGAATGGCCCCCTGGAGGGTGATTGAAAATAGAGTGGCCGGCAATTCTATTAGAGATAATACGTTAACTTTAAAAAATTTCCATTTTATAGCTGTGTTTAGTAACACTGGCACAATTATTCAATAATTCTGAAAAGTATAGCTTATTTGCTGTTATTACAGTTCATTTGTCGTTATTATTAAGTATATTAGAACTAATTGTATGTTTTATTTTTTAAATATTTTTTAAATAAAAAATTATTTTTTTCTAGGCATTTTCTAAGCTGTCATCATTCAATAAAAAAATTTATAAACAATTTTTAAGTAAAAAATCTGAGCATGTCCAAAATTATAAATTAAACGAACGATATCAGGCTGGTTTTTTACAATAATATTTTTGGAGATTCCATCTCAAATCCCCTATATCCGTCTTAATCCCAAAATCCTCCCAAATCCGTCGATATTCACACCAATTTTTCAAATTTTAAAATCACGCCAAATTAAAACGCCAAAAATTAGCCAAAAAGGGATCTAAACGCCATGATGCTCAGTCCTGTTTCATATGCCAATAAAATATATTGTCAGAATGATTCACCTAGCAGCATTTAAAACGCTTTGGCGGGGGATAAACGATCTAAAAAGGAGAAAAGAGAAAGCATTAGTCGATGTCCCGGTAGCTCAGTGGTAGAGCTCTCCTGTATATGGTGAGCAAAAACGCCTAGCAACAACTAGCAGGTGGTCGCAGGTGGCTAAGCTTTGCTCGGTGGCTAAACTTTTGCAAATTCTTTCTATACTTCTTTACCAGTAGATTTTGTTTCTTGCATGAAAGCGTAATGCTAATCCTCCCATGCCAAAAAATTTTCTTACTTATACATAATTAAAATTTAAGCAATTAGAAAATGTTTACACCGGAAAACAATTGGCACCCTCATTTTTCCTCCATTTTATCAATATTTTGTGTTCAAATATTCTTGTAATTATTACAAATTATTATGTAATACCTGTAGAATTATCTGTTAATATACTTTATTTTATTTTTGTGATACACGCATTTTGTAAATTATTTATTGAAGTGACCGTGATAACGTAAAAAATTAAATTATTTTGTCAAAAAAAATTTTTCAAAAATTTTTTCAGATTCCATCCAGTCTTAAATCGCAACCTAAACAAACTTTTCCCTTCAATATTTATCCATTTTAAATGCTTAAGATCCTCAAAAGTATGTGCGGATAAAGGAAATGACTTGAACATTTTAGCAAGTATGGCAACAAAACAACAACAAGTACACTTTGAAATGCTCGGAAAACTTTGGGAATAATTGGAAAATTTTTTTATAATTATACAAGTATTAAAAAAATTTTCAATAAACTGTAGATAAAAAATTATTATAAAAATATTATAAAAAAATTATTATAAAAATATTAAAAAAAATATTTACACTTTAATTTATAAATATTTTTTAGTTTATTTTATTGAACAGAAAAGTAAAGAGTATAGTTTATTGAAATTATTCAATGTAAGATCGGAAGCTTAATGAGTTTCCCATGATCGCAAGTTAGATAAAGACTCGATCTCGTTACCCAGATATTATTACCCAGCATTTCAAATAATCAAATAGAAGGAATTTGTTGCTTCAAACTAGCATAGAGTTAGATCAAAATAAATTTTGATTCTCAGAATCAGTTAATTTCCTATACATAAATGTCTTTCCATTTTTAATTTTAAAATTATTAAAGACACATTTTAGTAATCTTTAATTCTAAGGGCCATAAAAACAGGTGAATTTTACCGTTTATTGGAAAGTAAATATATTTGCGTTCTTAAAATGCTTAAAACATCTGTTTAAAAGAATATTAACTTCAATTTGGAAATTTATTTATATTTTAATTTTATAAAATTGAGCTTTGTTAACTTATAAAAAAGCATAAAATTTTGCTTTATAGCCAACATAAATTCAGTCCAATAATACCTCTTAATACTCTTTTACCTTCGTGTATCCCTCCTCTCTCGTTCACTCGGTTCCTGCTCTTCTTGTGCTTCCACTTCAGAGACATTTTTCCTTCGTCGGGCAGAACCTTAATTATCCCGTTAATAATCTACAACAACACATTATTCTGATAGATTTCGGGATTCTGATATTGTTGGGACAAAATAGTTCGTGAATAATGATACATACAGATTACATTCAAGTTTACTTACACGCTCTATTATACGTAGAGATTTTTTCAAAGTTGAGTTTGAGGGATTAAACTAAGTGATCCCCCCCCTCCCCCCCATTCTACGCATATTTAAAATTCTTCCAACTTTTTTCTGTCATTTTCAAACACTTTAACTTTTAAAATTTAGGTAAATGGAATTCCCTACATTATCATTAATTTTCCAGTATATTGAAATAATTCCTATAACAATTTTAATTCCCTGTTCTCTTTTGAATTTATTTTTATTATGGAAAAGTAGTGTTTTACACAATAATTCAAAAATTATTCTCATTTCACAAAGTATAGTTATTATTATATATTCATCAACACGTGTGTTTTTGTAAGTCTATAATTAAATTAATTAAAATATAGAATAAATTCAAGGATTTTTCTAATTAACTGTAAACAAGAATTCTTAAATATATTATCACCTTATGTTAATAGTCTTATGCTTGTCTGTATATATTTTGGTAACTTAATTGGGCATGTGTTAATATTGGAGAGAACAATAGCTACTTTATTTTCTACAAAATATGGACAAACTAAAGTTCCTATATTTGGAATTTGTTGTATTTTAAGTTTGGTATGGAATATTTTTAAAATTAAATAATATCTAAAATTATCTCGTATTGAATAATATTATTATTATATTATATAATAATATTAATAATATTATAATAATATAATAATAACATATATAATAATAATAATAAATATAATAATAATAATATTATGATTATATGTATACCAGGGTTGCCGCCCGAAACCCGAAACCCGGCCTTTTTTTGTACCCGAAACCCGATACCCGAAATGAAAATTTTCCAACCCGAAACCCGTACCCGATATTTTTTCCAACCCGAAACCCGTGACCCGAAATGAAAACGCTCCAACCCGATACCCGAAACCCGTACCCGAAGATTTTTTCTACCCGCGGCAACCCTGATGTATACTATAATAATATTATAAAATAACAATATTATAGAATAATAATATTACTATAATATTAATAATATTATAATAATATATATAATAATAATAAGTATCATAATAATAATATTATTATTATATACTATATTAATATTATATATTAACAATATTCTAGAATAATAATATTATTAAATAATAATAATATTATAATATTAATAATAATATAATAATAATAATTATATTAATAATAATAATATTTATATTATTAATATTATCTCGTATTATCTCTAATAGAATAGCCCCCTGGATTGTGATTGAAAATAAAGTGGCCGGCGATTCTATTAGAGATAATACGTCAATTTTAAAAAATTTCATTTTATAGCTGTGTTTAGTAACACTGGCACAATTATTCAATAATTCTGAAAAGTATAGCTTATTTGCTGTTATTTCAGTTCATTTGTCGCTAGTATTAAGTATATTAGAACTAATTGTATGTTTTATCTTTTTTAATATTTTTTCAATTAAAAAATATTTAATTTCTAGGCATTTTCTAAGCTGTCATCATTTAATAAAAAACTTTATAAACAATTTTTAAGTAAAAAATCTGAGCATGTCCAAAATTATAAATTAAATGAACGATATCAGGCTGGTTTTTTACAATAATATTTTTGAGATTCATCTCAAATCCCCTATATCACTCTTAATCCAAGAATCCCTCAAAATTAGTGGATATCCCTCTTAATCCCAAAATCCTCCCAAATCCGTCGATATCCACACCAATTTTTCAAATTTTAAAAACACGCCAAACGTAAAACGCAAAAAATAAGCCAGAAAGGGATCTAAACGCCATGATGCTCAGCCCTGTTTCATATGCCAATAAAATATATTGTAAAAATGAGTATCATAGCAGCATTTAAAAAGCTTAGGCGGGAGTTAAACGATCTAAAAAGAAAAAAGAGAAAGCATAGTCGATGCCCCTGCATCTCAGTGGTAGAGCTCTCCTGTATATGGTGAGCGAAAACGCCTAGCAACTAGCAGGTGGTCGCAGGTGGCTAAACTGTGCCCGGTGGCTTCTCTTTCTAGATATATTACTTTTGTACCAGTAGACATGACATGATTTTCTTATTCCAGCTTCATTAACATTTGTTTCTTGCGTTAAAGCGTAATGCTAATTCTCCTATGCCAAAAAATTTTTTTACTTATTCATAATTAAAATTTAAGCAATTGGAAAATATTTACACCGGAAAACAATTGGCACCCTCATTTTTCTTACATTTTATTAATATTTTGTGTTCAAATATTCTTGTAACTGTTACAAATTATTATGTAATACCTGTAGAATTATTTATTGATACAATTTGTTTTTTCCTTCTGATCCATGCATTTTGTAAATTATTCATTGAAGTGACCGTGATAACGTAAGTAAATTTAATTTATTTTGTAAGAAAAATAATTTTTTCAGCTTTCATCCAGTCTTAAATCGCAACCTAACCAAACTTTTCTCTTCAATATTTATCCATTTTAAATGCTTAAGAAGCTCAAAAGTATGTGCGGATAAAGGAAATGACTTGAACATTTTGGCAAGTATGGCAACAAAACAACAACAAGTACACTTTGAAAT